TTTTTAACATGGAGTCTTGCTCTATCGTCAGGTTGGAGTGCAGTGGCGCGATCTCAGCTCACTGCAACCTCCACCTCCCAGGTTCGAGCGATTCTCCTGCCTGTCTCCCGAGTGGCTGAGACTACAGGCTCACGCCACCACGCCCAGCTAATTTTTGTATTTTCAGTAGAGACAAGGTTTCACCATGTTGGCCAGGATGGTCTCGATCTCTTTATCTCGTGATTCACCCGCCTCGGCCTCCCAAAGTGCTGAGATTACAGGCTTTAGTTACCACACCCAGTAACGTCTTTACTTAAAAAAATAAAACTCTAAAACTCTCTAGTTAGGAATAGTTTTAGAAGATTTCAGGTGGTTCAAGGACAGAGATTCAGAAGGCTGCACTCTTCCAGTAAAAAAAAGGTAAATAAAGACCAATAAGACTAAAGAATATTATCCAAAGATGGAGTTGATGGGACAAAGAGGGAAAAGTCCAACTGTGCCCATTGTTACTCAAGCCACACATGATGTAGTACCTTAATATAAAATTGATAAGCAAGTGTTGTTGCCTTCGATTAACTTTGGAAAGATACAAAGTTGTGAAAAATCACAAATGTTATAATAAAAAAAATACCAATGTAGCACAACATTATTTGGCTGACAAAAATAATCACTCCATCATGATAGTCTCAGGATTTCCTCACTTAGATGGCAAGCTTCAAGGAAAGCAGAATACCTTTTTCATTCATCCTCAAAAACTTTATTAGGAGCACTATAAATGTTAAATGAGTAAGATGAATTTAAGAGTTACTAAAATTATTTTTAAAATATTTACTTAGAGTCTACTTAACACAGGCCAGATTATAGGCTCACACACTTTGTAATCTGAGCACTTAGGGATGTCAAGGTGGGAGAATCGCTGGAACTCAGGAGATGGAGACCAACCTAGTCAACATAGTAAGAACCTGTCTCTACTAAAAGTGAAAATTAACTGGGCATGGTGGTGTGTGTCTGTGGTCTCAGCTACTTTGGAGGCTGAGGTGGGAAGATCACTTCAGTCAGGGAGATTGAAGCTGCAGTAAGCTATGACTATGCCACTGCATTGTTGCCTGGGTGACAGAGGGAGATCCTGTCTCATTAAAAGAAAGAAAAGAAAAAAAGGAAATGAAGAGAAGAGAAAAGATAAAGATCCTATATAACCCTAATTCAAGGGGAAGAGCAGAAATCTTCGTACTTCCATTGCTGTTTCTTGCCTACCACAGTCCTCCTTATACCTGACCACATACGAAATCACCTATGGCCATATCAACAAATTATGGCTCATGAGATACAAGTTGAAGGAACTGGGCCATTTCTGGGAAACATCCTTAAACAAGAAGACATACCCTTCTCTTTCTCCCTTTCCTTCTTGTTGAATATTATGTGGAGAAATGATGGTTGAAACTGATGTAGCCATCTTGGGTCACTAGGTTGTCTTTGGAATGAGGCCATGAATATCAGAGCAAGAAAGCAGATGGAGCCTAGAAGCCAGCACCGTGCTGTGCCACACCAGTCCTGGTTTGCCCTCAATGGACAAAAGATAGAAAAACATCTATCTTGTCCAAACCACCATTATGTAGGAGTTTTGTTTTGTTGTGGTTAATCCTGGCAAATACCAGTCCTAATGTGATATAAAGGTCTTACAAAATTAGTACTCAATTGCTTTTCCATTAGTTAAGCTGGACAGGCTGGCCCCAAGAACAAAACAGGGTTGGCAGAGTTCACTGATTTCTTCCTCTGTACTTTTGCTCACTTTAATTTTCTTCCCAGCTAAATCTTGTTCTTTGATTCAGTCTTTCCCAAACATGTGTTCTTAATATTCTCTCACTTTTCTCTAATCCTATCACACTTATTATTTTGTACGTCCTTTAATCACAAGGTTTTAATAATCCATTCAAATAACTGAACCCTGGATGATCACCTATTCCAGGCTTCTGATTCTATACAGATTTTTATGGTTCTATTTTCCAACATAGATTTAGGTTTCTAGAGAGCAAGAATGTATATTACATTTCTTAAAATTCCTCACAGCCCTATTCATAGTGCATATACATTTTATATGCTTGACAATACTTATTTATCAAATGGAGGAAACAGTAAGAATTTATTTTCTCTTCTGGGATTTATACACCATTACAATTCCTTCTTCTCTCATTGTCACCTAGGAATAATTAAGAAATCTGTGTTCTTTAAATGCAGAAGGGATTATTGCTGGTGGAAATACGTATATGTTTATATAAACTTTTCTGTGTCTGTGTGTAATCAGTGACTAAAGGTGAATTAAATAACTGAAAAATAAAACTAATATAATTTTATACAGAAAAGCTGTTTAAGGATGACATGCTTTTTAACATTAAATATTCCTTTAGTAAATAAAACTATAATAAATTTTTTGAAATATAGAATCTTTTTCTATGATTATTATGAATATATGATGTTGGTGTGAGTCTCTATAATGTTGGTTTCTCTCTTTAATTAAGAACAATCATTTTCCTTTTTAATGCTCTTTTTTGATAGCACATGTCAGCTACTATACACAAGGTCTGATTCTTTAAAACCTATTCAATTTCAAACCATTTCTTTCAATAAATTATTTAACACACCATGTTAGGCACCAAGAAGAACAAAGACATGAATAAAACAATGTCTCTGCCTTTATTTTGAATTTAGTTTTTCTTACTTAAAGCAGATGCATATGGGAGGCTGCGGAAGAACCCCTACTCAAAGGTTATCATTTTGTTTTAATTAATGAGTTTGACAAATTATCCTAGTTAGATGACAGGTGCCAAAAAGGACAAAATATAGCAGCCATAAGTGTATTCACACATGCACAGTCACAGACACAGACATATGTACTTCACTATCAATTTACACAGGTCTCATAATTTTAAGGCATAAACATGCAAATCCATGCCTGCTTATTTGATCAGCTTTGATTAGTTCTTTCAATGGAAAATGGGATTATTTATTGTAAACTAAGATGTAATTTTTGAAAATTTGCAAATATATAAAATGTACGAAAGGCAAGATCTTACTATTTACCATTTTTTCAGCATCTCTATTAAAAAATACGGGAATCAGGCTGGGCTCGGTTTCCCGCACATAATCCCAGCATTTTGGGAGGCTGAGGCGGGTGGATCACCTGAGGTCAGGAGTTCAAGATCAGCCTGGCCAACATGGTGAAACTCCATCTCTACGAAAATACAAAAATTAACCGGGCGTGGTGGTGGGCACCTGTAATCTCGGCTAGTCAGGAGATGAGGCAGGAAAATGGCTTGAACCCTGGAGGCGGAGGTTGCAGTGAGCAGAGATCACGTCACTGCATTCCAGCCTGGGTGACAGAGTCAGACTCTGTCTCAAAAACAAACCAACAAAAACATATAGGAATCAACTGAAAATAGAACATGTAATATCCTATGAATGAAGTGCAATACATTTCATTGTTAGAGGTTTCCATAAGGCAGTAACATTTACTGCTTTTATTTTTTTGAGATATTGTTGATCCATAACTGAACAGCTAAGAAGGTATGATGTAGACTTACTTCGATACTGAAGTACCCTCTGTCAACATAGTCCCCTAAGAAGAGGTAGCGAGTGTTGGCAGGAGATCCCCCGACTTCAAAGAGCTTCATCAAGTCAAAGAATTGTCCATGAATGTCCCCACAAACTGAAAGAAACAAAATTCATTTTATGGTCATATTACGTTAGGAGTTTGAATTAAATAAAATTCCAAAATTTTAGATCCAGACTTAATTTCAAGTTTATCTGAGCCAAAACATTCTTTTTCAGAACAAGAAAGTAAGACAGAAAAGCTAAGTACTTCGCTCAGGTTTCCAAAGTTAATTAGCGGCAAACCTGGCTCTAAAGTCTGGGTCCACTAGTATACAGATTAATTATAAAAAATGAAGACACTAATAACAATAACAGCTATCATTGTGCACTTAACAATTTTGTATGAGACGCTGCTAGGACGTTTATACACATTTTCTAATTTAACCCTAATAATGCCATGAGACATATTTTCATTTTGCAGGTAAGAGATGGCTCAAAGAATGGTTCAGGAATTTGGCATAATCTATGTACAACTGAGGTCTGAATACATGGCCACTATACATTACTGCCTTCCTGAAGAGAAAGAAACTTTGATATGTATCATAAAACCTTCATTTCATTGAATCCAAAATGTTATCTATTGTAAGACACATCATTAGTTTACGTATCACTAAGAAAGAATGAAAAAAACTCCAATTAAACTTAAATTATAAGGAGCATTTTTATAAAATGTTAAAGTGAAAAAAACAACAAGTATTAAAAACTGTGAAACTCTACCAAAAAAATTACTGGGAACTGGTATTTCTTAACATTCTCACTTTCTCTTTTAAACCAAGTTTCTTGGAAGAGCTATTTTGTCTCTTTAAAAAAAAATCATTTATTTAATATTTATTTCATTTCCACTTTCAGAGCTCTAAAAAATAATATTTTTAGGCCAGGTGCAGTGGCTCACGCCTGTAATCCCAGCACTTTGAGAGGCCGAGGAGGGCAGATCATAAGGTCAGGAGTTGGGAGACCTGCCTGGCCAACATGGTGAAACCCTGTCTCTACTAAAGATACAAAAAATTGGCCAGGCGTGGTGATGTGCACCTGTAATCCCAGCTACTCGGGAGGCTGAAGCAGGAGAATCACTTGAACCTGGGAGGTGGAGGTTTGCAGTGAGCCAAGATCATGCCTTTGTACTCCAGCCTGGGCAACAGGGCAAGATTTCATATTAAAAAAATAAACAAAAATAATATTTTTATTTCCATTATACAGATAAGGAAATAATATAGCTTAGAGAGGTTATGTTGCTTGGTAAGGTCACTGCTAAAAATAAATGACCCAGGGCTTAAATTCCAATTCACCTGATCCAAAGCTTTTTCTGTCAGCTAACACATTATGGTATCTTAGACATTTTTATATATTTATACATGTATATATATGTATGTGTGTGTATGTGTAACATTTTAAAAATTTTGTGTTGAATGGTGAACATGATGCGGCCACTTCTGCAACACCAACAGTTACACAGAATGAATGTATTCGCAAATAAGAAATCAAGACGCCAAAAGTAGATCTTAACACATTATATCCTGCAATTACAAGTAAGTTATTGAAATGTTTTAAATTTTATTCCTTTATTTGACAAAAGTTCAGAGAAAAAATAATCAAGCGAGTTTAATGATGAAACAATTATAAAACAATGAAATAAAAATGCTACATTCTATAAATTCCTATCTTTACTATCAAGAATTAGCTACTAAAAACCCATAGCACTATAAGCATGAAGCAGGTACAGGCGGATTCCATTTTAGAATGACTGCACTTGGTAATCTTAAATACTAATGAAATGGCTGTAAATAACAAGAAGCTTTAACTGCTAATGTATCCCTTTGGTAGACTGCAATCATATAGCTTCTTCCCTCTATTGAGCATGAGATACACAGTAGAAACATCAGAAACATATTCTTCCATTTTTGAAAAAATACGTTTTAGAAGATAGTTTACAAATAATTTTTTATTCCTAGAGCAAATAAATCCATATTCTGAGGCATTAAGAAGTTGGTTTGTGAGACACATCATATACTTCCTTGTAATCATACGTGCGATCTAAGCCAGGGGAAATAAATAAAGAGCACTGGATGGGATGGTCCAAACACTGCCAGGCATGGATGCCAGTGCCTGCTCTGGGGAATTTCACAGCTATATTTGGAGCTGTAAAAACTAACATAAATAGTAAAACACTTCTTAAAACTTTTATATATTTTTATATATGTGTATATATAATATGATGTGAGCATAATTTAAAAATTATCCATCTTAAAAACTACATTAGCACATTTTTATTACCGAATTTTTAAATAGGCAAGGATAAAGCTTATCAGCTAACAAGTAATAATATAATTACTTTTCTACCTATGTATCCCTTGAAGTTATAGTTGGTATGGATTACTTATCACAAGTGCCAGTTTCTCTCAAATTGTAGGAATCTTTGTATCTGTCATATATATGACATGTTTCAAACGAAAAATTACAATACAAAAAATATATGGTTGGACACCATACCTTCATGTGCTCTCCATTAACTTTAGAAGTTGAAGGAAGGAACTACAAGGAAAGAAATTAAGAAGCAAAACATTTCTTTGCATCGGACTTTATGCAGCCCTTCGTATGTCAATGGTTGTGATGCTGGCACTGTGTATAGCCCATGTCTTGCTACTGGCTCTCTCCCTCTCCTTGCTCCCTAACAGAGAGGTGAGGGTCAAACATTCAGTAAGTAAGGCTCAGAGAAAACAGGAACTCAGGTGAAGGGCTAAGACACAGGCCTCAGACATTATTTGGAATTTCTATGGCAAGTCTAATAGCTATGTTTTAGGCTATTATTAAAATATCCCCAAGACAAAATGGCTAATCAAAGGCATTAGAGGGTGGGGTATCATTTAAAGGCCTAGTCTCTGGCTCCACACTACTCAGGCTCCAACTTGGACATTTACTCAACTCCTCTGAGCTTCAAATATATTTATCAATAAAACGGGGGTGGTACTGGTACCTTACCTTATTGAGCTATGGTGAGAATTAAATGTGTTAATATCGTAACAGGCTTAGAAGAATTTCTGGAGTCTAATAAGAATTTAACAAATGCTGTATCAAAGTGGCATTTCAAAATGGCTGTATCTAAAATGTCAAGATCCCAGACAGAATAGAAATCCGGTGCTTGGAGTTGGGGGAGAATAAGGAATGCCAGAATGGAAGGCATTCTAGAGACATTCTAAAACATCTTCTCTCCCTCTTCTGGCTTCTTATACCTTTTTTATCCTTCCATTTTAATTCCTGGCCATACCTGAAGAATCAAGGATAATTGCTTTTTACCTCTGTGTACGTAAATGACATAATTACCAAGACATTAATTTACGTTGTAAACTGCAGGTTAGGCATCAAGCAATTATAGCAACTAACATACAACTGAAGCATAATCTCACAGCCAGAATGAAAAAAAAAAAAAGGCTCTAGACAATGCAAACATTATGAGGATATGTTTCCTTTTGCTGAAGTATAGAAGTACATTATCATGAATTTAGTTTTATAAAAACAAAATTAATCTCTTCTTTCTGGTCTATAATAACTTTGTGATAAGAGATAATCTCAGTGATTTACAAGATCACTGCAATAATTGGATTTTGGCTTGATGATATAAAATAGAAAAGAGCAATTGCTGTAAACTCTGCATAGAAAACAAAATACCCTGAAATTTATTACACATCTGATCATCACACTGTCACTGACTTTACCTTAGGGCAGCCATAGGTCTTTTATAGAAAGGTCACCTATCATAATGTTCAGTAAAGGAAAACAATGTGTATACATAATCATAAAAAGATTAAAAGCCCAACAAAAGAAAATAGTAGCTCAAATAAAACATAATTTAAAAAACGGAGGTATTTTCTTCCTTGAATTTTCATAGGCTGTCTTTCTTACATCCGTAGGACTCAGATATATGTCACATGCTCAGTTAGGTCTTTCTTGACCATCCTGTGTAAAGAAGCAAAGTCTCTTTACCATCACCCTTTACTTTCTTCACAGTAATTATGCCACAATCAGCATTATCTAGTTGATTTATTTGCATGCTTGTTTCTTCTCTGATTCTTCCCACTGAAATTCAACCTCTGCTAAGCTGGGTACCTTGTCAGTGTTGTTCGTCATATCCCTAGTGCCTAGACACGTGTGCCCAGGAGGCACACTAGAAACACCTGTTGTGCTAGTATTCTTCTACTAGGCCTATGCCATGCTTAACTTGAAAATCCTTTACTAAGGCCAGAGATTTTGAGATGCCCTTGGGACTCACAGAGATTGACAAGTTTGTGGAGTTTGCTTTGATGGAAACCAACGGCCTCAACTTATCTGAGATTGTGCTTGTTTTAAGCCTTTAAGTTACAGGTTTCAATATGGTGTGCAGCAAGTCTGGGATAGAATGGGGAACCTCCACATATGTTATGGTTGTTTTCTCCACCTAATTCTACATTGGAACCACTTTGAGAGGTTTCAAAGCTATAGAATTCTGGGCCCTGAATCAGATTCTCCAGAGATGCAGATTCACTAACAAGCTAGTTACTGTGACTAAATACATCTATGCTTTTGAGCCTCCCATAGCACACACAGCCTTCATTCTGCATACTAGTATGGTTCCTCTCATAGGGGCAATGTGTGGAGGGGATGAACATTTGAAAGGCTTTTACTCTTTTACTGCTTATTCTAGGTTGCTGTGAGATTATGACTTCATCATTATATGAAAGAATCACAGTAAGTGATAGATGGAGAGAGGGATGAACCTACGAAGGGTGATAACACCATATTTCTTTGGGCATTTTGTTGTATTTATTGCTCAGGCCTTGGATATTCCAGCTGTAAGATAAGGGATTTAACCTTAAGTCCTATTATCCCATTCACTGTCTTGATATCAAATTTCAGGAAGAAAGTGGTCACCATACTGAACTATCCAGGATGTAGCCAAAAGGATGAAGGGTGGGCCCATGGCATCACACAGAGTAAAGGCTTACTAGGCTATAATATGCACTTACTATTGGTCCCCATCCTCTATCTTCTTGGGTACCCAAGATACTGATGTCGAAAGAGCAGCACAATATGCCAATGCCAACTAATGATACAAGTTG